CACACACACACACACACTCACACACACACACACACACACACACACACACACACAGATGTGCTGTAGCAGATATGAGCAGAAATTGTTGTCTTCTAGATTTAAAGGAAGCTGTCGCCCCCTTGAGTACCGAACGGTTGCTGCCACAGTGACACAAGAACATATGATGTACACCTGTGGTGTTATTGTTTACAAAAAAATAGTGAAAATAATTTTCGGTAATTGAAATAAAATAAAATATAAATACTAATTCAAAATCTCAAACTTAAAAATGAGAAATAGCAAGTAACTGAAATAAGTTTAATATGAAGTACTAAAGTTACTAAAACAGATTATTAAAACTGAAATAAAATGGAAATATAACATACGCGAAATGAATAAAAACTACGAAAGCACAAAACAAAATTATGTACAATTAAAATAAAAATTCTAAATGTAAAAATAAAAGCTACTCAGAATATTAATAAATACTGTAATGGTCTATAAAAACTACTAAAATATCACATGATGTACACCAGTGTTGTTATTGTTAACTAAAAGTTAAACTATTGAAAATTGAATTTGGTAATTTAAATAAAATGTAAATATTACATAAAAAAATGCAAACCTAAAAAACTTAAAAATGAGAATTGTTGCCTTGAACATGAAAAGCACATAACAAAATTACTTGAAAACTAAAAATATGAAAATAAAAGCTAATTCAAAATATTACTAAATACTATAGTTGTATGTAAATAGTACTAAAATAACACATGACATGACACACACCTTGTTCTTGTTGTTGTTAACTAAAAGTAAAAATATTACAAATTGTTTTAGGTAACTGAAATAAAATATTAGATGAAAAAAATCAAATTATTAAAACTTAAATAAAAATTTGAAATGTTACTATGGCATCAAACTAAATAAGTACTAAAACCAAAACTGAAACTATAAAAAAAAAGTTTTTAGTAAATGAAATAAAATAAATAAAATAAAATATTAAATCAAAAACACAAACTTACAAAACTTGAAAATTAGAAATGTTGTCTTTGAAACAAACTGGGAAAAGTTTAATTTGAAGTAATAAAATTAATAAAACTAATTAAAAATAACACACACACACACACACACACACACACACACACACACACACACACAGATGTGCTGTAGCAGATATGAGCAGAAATTGTTGTCTTCTAGATTTAAAGGAAGCTGTCGCCCCCTTGAGTACCGAACGGTTGCTGCCACAGTGACACAAGAACATATGATGTACACCTGTGGTGTTATTGTTTACAAAAAAATAGTGAAAATAATTTTCGGTAATTGAAATAAAATAAAATATAAATACTAATTCAAAATCTCAAACTTAAAAATGAGAAATAGCAAGTAACTGAAATAAGTTTAATATGAAGTACTAAAGTTACTAAAACAGATTATTAAAACTGAAATAAAATGGAAATATAACATACGCGAAATGAATAAAAACTACGAAAGCACAAAACAAAATTATGTACAATTAAAATAAAAATTCTAAATGTAAAAATAAAAGCTACTCAGAATATTAATAAATACTGTAATGGTCTATAAAAACTACTAAAATATCACATGATGTACACCAGTGTTGTTATTGTTAACAAAGTTAAACTATTGAAAATTGAATTTGGTAATTTAAATAAAATGTAAATATTACATAAAAAAATGCAAACCTAAAAAACTTAAAAATGAGAATTGTTGCCTTGAACATGAAAAGCACATAACAAAATTACTTGAAAACTAAAAATATGAAAATAAAAGCTAATTCAAAATATTACTAAATACTATAGTTGTATGTAAATAGTACTAAAATAACACATGACATGACACACACCTTGTTCTTGTTGTTGTTAACTAAAAGTAAAAATATTACAAATTGTTTTAGGTAACTGAAATAAAATATTAGATGAAAAAAATCAAATTATTAAAACTTAAATAAAAATTTGAAATGTTACTATGGCATCAAACTAAATAAGTACTAAAACCAAAACTGAAACTATAAAAAAAATGTTTTTGGTAAATGAAATAAAATAAATAAAATAAAATATTAAATCAAAAACACAAACTTGAAAAACTTGAAAATTAGAAATGTTGTCTTTGAAACAAACTGGGAAAAGTTTAATTTGAAGTAATAAAATTAATAAAACTAATTAAAAATAAAGCAAATTAGAAATAGAAATATGTATATATACAAAAACAAACAAAAATGTCAAAGGCACATAAAATGTCAAAAAATTAAACGAACATTAAAATAAACTGTAAATATAAAAACAAAACTAATTTAAAATATTATAAATACTGTAATAGTACATAAATAATACTAAAAGAGCACATTACATACACCAGAACGCGTGAATCTCTAGCCTTTATAAGCACATTTATCAGTAGATGCACATCTGTATTCTGCTGATTCTGTTGTTTTGTGGTGTGTGTGTGAGAGAGAGTGAGTGTGTGTGTGTGTGTGTGTGTGAGAGAGAGTGTGTGTGTGAGTGTGTG